GCGATTGTACCCCCACTCTAATTTTTCTCTTTCGAGTCTCCAGACTATGACTCTCGTGTAGTGTTTTTTTCTCTTCTCACCTGCACCCCTGGCTTCCTCTTTATGACCCCTGTTTTTCTAGTTTCTTTCCTAATTTTTTTTTTCTCTCTCCCACGACCTGCTCCAAACCCCAGTACCTCGAGGCTTCTCACACTCCTCCTACCCGGGACATGAGAAGGTTTGGTAAACATCTCTGCCGTTCCCCATCCCCACCCCAACACTCTGGCTTCCCTCCCTCCCTCCCATCCCCACACTCTGGCTCAAGGACCCAGCTTTTCCCTAACCCTTTCAGTCCCATTAAAGCTCCCAAGCTCCCCACTGCCTCCTCTCTGTTCATTGCTGCACCAGGGCCTTTTCAGGGAGGCCAAGGAGGTAAAAGGCCTCCAGAGATCTCGTGAGAGAAAGCAGGCCTGGGTGTCGGTGGCCTGGGGGGGGTGGTGGTGGTGGAGGAAGAGCCGGTGGGTGGGATCCTAAGAGGGCAGTCTTTCATTCTCACCCCATTCCATCCCAACTTTCAACCCAACGGCCACCCCCTTCCACCTTTTTCCATCTCTCCTTTCTTCCAACCCCGCACCGTATCGCAACTAGCAACCCACGTCCTTTTCCTTCATTCTATCCCATCCTTCCATCAGCATTCCATTTTACACTAATTTAATACTTTCCCCGCCTCCACTCCATACTTCGTCCAGTTCTGTTAATACCTTCTCTAGTTTTCCTTCATAAACCTCCTGCTGCTCCCAGTAGCTTTGGGCTCCCACCCTCCCCCTGAGATAACCTGTGCTCTTGAAAAGGATTTCTCACACTGTGTCTTGGCGACTGTTCCACTCTTTTCCCGCTGGTAGTGCGCGCCCTCTGCTGGTCCGAGAGAGGGTAGGCCGGGCTACCACCAGTTGCTTCTCCTACCAAGGACAAGAGGACCAGGTTGCCTCCACATCTCCTTTATCCTTCAGAGTGAGGGGCAAAAGGAGAAACCCAGACCCTTCACCCTGGATCCGGCCTTGGGAAGTCTGGGAAGTGAGTCGGGTGGATCTTTCTGACATTGCCATGCTCACCATCCAGAGGCACTTACCTCTGTCTCTCTTTTTCCAAATCTGTTGTCTGGGAAGCAACCTTTAGACATCTTCCCTCAGAAGACAACAGCCATAACCGGGCTGCTAAGCTGAGAACCCCACCCTCCCTTCCCCATGCCCAGGTATTACTCTTCATTGGGATAGCTGTATCTTTCCAGAACAAAGGGTCTTCTTCATTTGAGGGGGAATACCATGGGCCTCTATTGGGCGGGCAGGCCGGTAGATTTCTTAATGTCTTAATGTCCTTAGTGTAGAAAGGGGAAGACTGGGTAGTTAGAGTTTGGGGTGAGTATGAGTGACTGTCCCTTCCCAGATTGCTGGTGGACCGTCCAGGCCCACTTCAGAGGGTGTCATTATTCACTTACGTACTCTTTTCCCCCTCATTTCTAAATAACACATACTTACTATAGGTAATCCAGTCAGGCACATCGGCACATGCCTGTGATGCCAGCACTAAGGACTAAGAAGCAGACGGAGCCAGAGTTTGAGGTCAGCCTGGGCTAAAAGCAAAACCCTATCTCAAGAAACAAAACAAAGAAAACCTTGACACTCTCTCTCTCTCTCTCTCTCTCTCTCTCTCTCTCTCTCTCTCTCTCTCTCTCTCTCTCTCTCTCTCTCTCTCTCTCTCTCTCTCTCTCTCTCTCTCTCTCTCTCTCTCTCTCTCTCTCTCTCACACACACACACACACACACACACACACACACACACCAGGCCTCCATTAACTACTGATTGAATAAAAACTGTAAGAAGGCATGTCCCGGAGAGAAATCACCTGTACCTTCATGCAGAGACCACTCTTGATCCCTCTAAGAGCTTTCCTTTTCTGTATGCCTTTGATTTGTATTTTGTGGTGATCATTTATTTGCTTTGTTTTGTTTTTCGAGACAAGGTTTCTCTGTGTGCTCTGGGCTGTCCTAGAACTAGCTCTGTAGACCGGACTGGACTGGAACTCACAGAGATCCACCTGCTTCTGCCTGCCAAGTTCTGGGACTAAAGATGTGTGCCACCACTGCCTGGCTCTCTTAGCCATCTTAAAAAAGATTTATTCATTTTATTTTATGTGTATAAGTGTTTTGCCTTCATGTGTGTGTGTGTGTGTGTGTGTGTGTGCACCATGCAAGAGCCTGGTGCCTGCCAAGGTCATAAGAGGTTGCTGGATTCCCCCAGAGCTGGAGTTACAGATGATTAGGAACCACCATGTGTGTGCTGGGAACTGGACTCTAGTCCTCTTCAAGAGCAACAAGTGCTCTTACCTGAAGAGCCATCTCTCCAACTCCTATCTGTGGCATTTAAAACCTCAGGATACTCTGGTTGTACCACTAACTTTCCAGAATAGGCATGCTCCATGTCCTGTCCTATAAAGTTCCTGAGATAGAGAATGGACTCGCATAGTCCAGAGAGTACACAAGCCAGGGGAAGTCTGGCCTGCTGGGGCTCAAGACTTGCAGAGGGCATTGGAGGACCAGCATGCTTACAGCCCTGTTTTCAGGGATGAAGCCTACCAGAGGAGACCAAAGCAGGATCGAAATATCTGAGCTGCCAAGAATTTCCTGGTAAAAGTGGTGAGGTCCTGACCTTAGATGTTCATATGAAACAACAGGAGACAGAACACAGGCCCTGGCAAGTTTGGGGCTAGTAGGGGTGGTGTACAAAACAGTGTTGTCTTAGGAAACACAGTGAAAGGCAGAAAAACTGAGATTTGGGGATTGATGGGGATATGGCATTTAAGGTGAAGGAAGGTATCCCACCTTCTAGAGCATCACTCCCCCACCCTCCAGGAATGAAATGGTCAGTGTAAGCTCTTTTGGGAGGACAAAGGGGAGCCACACCGTGTGGCATGGAAGGGAAGAGGAAAAACTCTGGAGAGATGATAGCAACACCTCTATAGTCTGGGAAATCAGCTGGGGGAAAGGGTGTGAGAATTGTCCTCACTTATCCAGAGAATGGTCCTGAGGGAGAGGGCCTATGTGAGGATGGTGAGGGCAGTGCTGGGCACGTGCACCGAAGCTGCAGTAAAACGGGTGGTACCTTGGGCTAAGGAAGAACCCCAGGCATGGCATGTGTCAGACCCTCTTGGGAATAGTTCAAAGCAGAGATGGGTGGACTGGGTGACTTCTCTAACCTTGAGCCCCTTGAGGTCCTGTAAACAGATGAAGAAAGGATTTCAGTCAATGTGTAATAGCTGGGAGATGTTCAGTTAATTGATTTCATGTATGAAATCCCATTCTTTTTTTTTTATCTTTCTTTCTTTTTTGGCTTTTAGGGACAGAGCTTTTTGTTTGTTTGTTTAGTTTTGGTTTGGTTTGGTTTGGTTTTGGTTTTTCCAGACAGGGTTTCTCTGTGGCTTTGGAGGCTGTCCTGGAACTAGCTCTTGTAAACCAGGCTGGTCTCGAACTCAGAGATCCACAGGCCTCTGCCTGCTGGAATTAAAGGCGTGCACGACCAACGCCCAGCTTAGGGACAGAGTTTCTCTGTGTAACAGCCCTGGCCATCCTGGAACTTACTCTGTAGACCCGACTGGCCTTGAACTCACAGAGATCTGCCTGCATCTGTCTCCCAGGTGCTGGGATTAAAGGCATTCCACACCACTGCCCAGCCTCAAATCCCATTCCTGTGTCCACCCAACTCTATTCTTTTCTGTACCTGTAACTAGTCTTGGTGGCTGATACGGGACTGGGAGCAGAAAACCCATGGTACAGTCATGGCTTGTTATCTGATCTTCAGATAGATACATTTCTTTTCAGGATTTCCATTCTCACATGGAATGAAGATTGTGAGGCTAAACCATGGATCAGCAAACTGTTCTGTGGAACCTCTGGAGTCAGATGGGTTCTCTCTACAGAGCATATGTCCAAGGTGATCATAAGGTGAAAGCCAGTCTCTGCGTCTTATAGGTTTGCATCATCTGCCCTTGTTCATCTCGGTTCCAGTAGCTCCCTGGCTGCTGTGATATGTCTGAGTCTTGAGGCAACTATTCTACTCAAGCCCCAAAGAAGATATTGTATTGCAGTACTGGAGGTTGAACTCAGGGCTTCCAGGATGCTAGGCAAGTCCTCTACCACATTCTCAGCCCCAAGAAGATAAACCCTGACCACATCCGTTTTCCTGATAATCCAAGAAAACAATAATAAACCAAGCCCCACCTTGTTAAACTACCTGGCTGGCCAAAGCCGAGGGACTTGCCTGGGACCTGTGCTGTCTGGTTCCCCTGCTAGACCACTTCTTATTCCACTGATGGCTTCTTCCTTAATCCTGGACACCTTTGATGGCCTTGCTTTAGAATCATGTCCTCTCTGATGCCCTGTGTGCTTTTGAAGATGGAGTACAAAGCCCTGATAACATGCCACATGGAGAGCTGTGTCCTTGCCGACTGTAGAGGACCTGAGCCACCTAGAGCACTTAGGCTGACACAGCACTTTCCAATGTGATATGAATGCTTCTGTACTGGGATGCACTTTCCTCAGAGCCTTCTGCCCCTCTGGTTTCATTTTTTGCCCCATTATGTC